GTGACTCTGGGGTAGCCTTATGGGTCAGGTGTTCTGTCATTACAGCAATGACCTGGGTTCTATTCCCCAAACGCTACAATATGTGGAACCCAATCTTGGCGATCTGCATGCGATAGAGCAGGAACTGTATCGACTGCCTATTCGCCCACTTCACAGAATAAATATACTGAACAATAAAAGTTCCTGTGACATTGAATAAGATTTAATGCAAAGTTATGTTTTTTACCAAATCTGAAACATTTTCGGTTTGCAACAGATGAAAGACCCCTGTAGGTGTTTAAATGGTTTAATTTGCCATACTGACTTCAGAAAATGCGTGATTTCATAAAAAAAACCTATGAACATGCCAAAATTTCAATTTACAAATCAATAGCGTGTGTGTCCACCTCTGGTTGCGATGCAAGCAACACATCTTCGTCTCATGGAATGGACCAGGCGTCGCACAAATTCCTGTGGGATATCTGTCCATATCTGCTGGAGCATGTTTCGAAGTTCCTGGAGTGTCTGTGGAACACGTGGTTGACGTCGAAGGGGCCGATCCATCTCATCCGACATGTGCTCGATTGGTGAGAGATCAGGGGAGCGAGCCGGCCAGGGAACGAATGTTTTGTTGAAGAAAATCCTGAACAAGTCGAGCAATATGAGGCCGGGCGTTGTCATGTTGAAAGGTAATGCCTGGGCCATGACGACTCAAAAACGGTAGAACAACAGAGCCGATGATCTCGTCGCGGCAACGCTGTCCATTGAGATTTCCCTCTACCACTATCAAACGGGTCCTCTTTCTTGCTGTAATCCCACCCCATACCATAACGCTGCCGCCCCCGAACCGATCTTCTTCCATGACACAATGATTGACGTAACGTTCAACTCGACGTCGGTACACTCGAATCCGTCCATCGCTGTGGCTGAGGTGAAAACGAGACTCGTCAGTGAATAGAACTTGTCCCCACTGCATGGCCGTCCAGTGTAGACTCTGTCTGCACCACTGTGGTTTCCTGTCAAAATGGGACGTCTGGCGGGTCTACTGGCGACAATCCCTGCACATCTGAGGCGACGACGTACGGTTTGGGAAGATATTCGTCGAAGGCCAGGGATGCTTCTTGCAGTCACTGTTGCTGGCTGGAATCGATTTCGTAGTTGTGTTGTTCGAATCCAGTTGTCTTGTCGATTATTGGTTACGCGAGGCCTGCCACTCAGAGGATGGTCTCTGACTGCATTCGTCTGTTGCCAACGTTGCCATAAACACCAAATGGTGTTTCTGTGGACGTTAAATTGTCTTGCAACATCACGTTGACTCGATCCTGCTTCAAGCATACCAATGGCTCGCAGACTCTCATTTACGTACAGGCGTGGCATTTCGTAATGTTGAATAATTGCGTAATTTTGTTTTTTTTCTGAGTGGTTGTCAGCACGATGCTAAACAACGCACATGGAATCCCGTTAACGTACATGTTTTTATACCCATTCTTGGGTAGTGAAATGCATGGGGCTTGCATAAAAGTCAACTTTTGCATGGAATGCATGCTTTTCTGTAGCAGTTGCGTTTTTGTGACTTGATTCCATACATGTACTACAATATTGAAAACCAAAATTTACTTGTTTGAAAAATACACTAAAATATTGGTGTCACAGGAACTTTTGTTGTTGAGTAGTTTAACCTCTTATGATCGTGGGTTTGAACCCAAGATTTTGTCCTGATCACGTTTCTAGTTTGTTCATCACGACACCTTTGCTCGTCTGAAACCTACCACAGAAAACGGAAATCCTGATTAAAACATCTTAGACCAACTCACTCACTTATGCAGGCCTTACTTTCAAACGTCACAGTCAGATAAGTTGTTATTGGTTTTCCTGTAAATATTCGCTAAAATGAAATAAATGTTTGATGGAAGGCCGTCCAAACGTTTAGCATCAATTCCCTAAGCTACTTAGATCTACTTGAAGTGTTGTCATGTGTGACGTTTAGACGTGTGAAGCTGGTGCAAATATGCTGGTCAACAATAGCGGGGCTAGATTGAAGTTGTTCCCGTGTATCACCAGGTACAGGGGTATTGTCTCTACAACCTGGGGCTAATTAGCTGATAATTACTGTCATTGGACCAGGTGCATCATCAAACATGCATGACGTCATCATGTATCTATAACTTGATACTTTTCTTATTGATTCCAACAGGCTGAAGGTCGCTTCAAGGTCGTTATGACACAGGACATTAATGTGTAAGTTTAATGTTATTTTGTATAATGTCCCAGATCAGGGAGTCATGCTGGTCCCTGGGACCGTTACACAAAGCTGTCTCAGCGCTACGACTGCCGTAAGCCTATGTTAAAGTATGGGAGTTAGGATCATCTTAGTGCCAAGATCCCTTTGTCTTTCGCTCAAACCCAAAACGTCGAAACTCACTAAGATTTTGTAGAAGGCATGACCGTGAGAAGCTCGACTCACGTCACAAAAACCTTCATTCAGTAACGTGTGTCTACCGAGTCCCTTGACTCCGCACTTAAATGTCCCCCATTCATCAGCGTTAAAGGTCAAAACAATTACTCCCGCTTAATAGATATTTCCAACTTTTCATTTCTTAAAGAATTCTACCGATTTTAAACCAATACTTGATGGCAAATTAGGAATTTGGTGAAAATACACACGCAGACAAATATAAAGAGAAATTAACTGACGACCTCTGCATGTGAACGTTAAAAGGTTTAAGATTATATCCCTACTGGCAATACTATATATTTCATTTTCTCAATACTTAAATTGACAACGTTTATATAGAGACGTTTTCATTGAGTACCATTAAGCCAAATATATACTTAAACAATGTGCAAGCGTCTGTCGGACAGCCTGAACCGGAGCTTATATTATCAGCATTAATACTGTTCATGTCTCAGGGTGCCACTGTCTCGGAGTTGACAAAGTGCTCAACGCTCTAAACTCATTTGTCTACGCCACACTCATCCCGTCTTTGGTGACAACAAGTCATTATTTATAAATTTCACGGTTCGTGGCAATTCCCACCGTGGACTGTTGACCCGTGCGACGCCTACGTGGTCTCTGTGAGGACCTCTTTGCGAAACCAATCTCGTTCTTTCTCGCGAGTGTTAAATTACTGTGAAAGGAAGACAGGACAGACAGATTGTATTATATTCGTCTTCCACAACTCCAGGTAATTGTAAGAGGCAATTGTGTTGTGACGCCATTGGCGCTAAGTTAATAGTATAAGCTACATATTATGCGGAATTGAATATCGCAGCAAACTGGATTTTTTTTTTATCATACAAGTTTTGGATGGAATTGACACCAGAACGGATTCACATACATATTTCAATTATTCCATCACGGAACAATTCAATCAAACATTCAGGATAGCGTTAGCGTCCATGATCTAGCATCCAGTATTTGACTTAAATTCTCATTATCAGAACTTTCGTCTTTCTTTCTGTACATGAAATACACGTATCAGCCCTTCACACACAAACACCCCAACCCGCCCCTTCACACACATACACCCCAACCCATCCCCTTCACACACAAACACCCCAACCCACCCCTTCACACATATACACCCCAACCCATCCCCTTCACACACATACACCCCAACCCACCCCTTCACACACAAACACCCCAACCCGCCCCTTCACACACATACACCCCAACCCAACCCCTTCACACACAAACACCCCAACCCGCCCCTTCACACATATACACCCCAACCCATCCCCTTCACACACATACACCCCAACCCACCCCTTCACACACATACACCCCAACCCATCCCCTTCACACACATACACCCCAACCCACCCCCTTCAAACACAAACACCCAAACCCAACCCCTTCACACACATACACCCCAACCAATCCCCTTCACACACAAACACCCCAACCCAACCCCTCACACACATACACCCCAACCCACCCCTTCACACACAAACACCCCAACCCGCCCCTTCACACACACACACCCAAACCTAACCCCTTCACACACCTACACCCCAACCCACCCCCTTCAAACACAAACACCCAAACCTAACCCCTTCACACACATACACCCCAACCAATCCCCTTCACACACATACAACCCAACCCAACCCCTCACACACATACACCCCAACCCACCCCTTCACACACATACACCCCAACCCACCCCTTCACACACATACATCCCAACCCCTTCACACACATACACCCCAACCCACCCCTTCACACACATACACCCCAACCCACCCCCTTCACACACATACACCCCAACCCATCCCTTCAAACACAAACATCCCAACCCATCCCCTTCACACACATACACCCCAACCCACCCCCTTCACAGACATACACTCCAACCCAGCCCTTTCACGCACACACACACACACATTATTTACAGAACGCCGCCATATAGCGGCAATACTGCTGAAGCAGCATTCACTCACTGCCTCTTAGGTATGACCGCCTCCGTGGTCAGTGGTTCGATCCTGTGGTTCGGCCGCGTCCTATCAACAGACTAGCGTCTACTGTGTGTGAGGGGGGCATTCATGTTAAACACTCCGGCATCGTATCTCAGTGGGCTACCACTAGTAAACACATACACACACACGCGCACGCACGCACACAAACACACACACATTATTTACAGAACGCCGCCATATAGCGGCAATATTGCTGAAGCAGCATTCACTCACTGCCTCTTAGGTATGGGATAAACATGTCAGTGGTTCGATACTCGGCCGCGTCCTAACAGACTAGAGTCTACTGTGTGTGAGGGGGGCAGTCATGTTTAACACTCCGGCATTTAAACCCCACATACTTACCTACTCGTCCCCGGAATCCCCATGGGGCAGTGTACCTACCATATTCCCACATAAGCTAAATGTTTGCGTACATGGGATATTCACATCAAAATCATTCTCTAAATTAGAAGATCAGTTAAACATTAAAATACACACGGTTAACTTGGCAAGGAAACATCTGGATTTATTTTTCCAAACGCTGCATATTTACACTTTGGAATTGAATATTAACGATTACAACAAACACAAAGACAGTACGAAGCCCATGTGTTATATGGGTTGAAGACGTAGGAGTGAATATGAACTTGTCACTGATAAAAAGAAATAAATTCAAATACTACAAATACTATGGCTGCACTGGACATGCTCGTCATTGGCTCGACAGCCCGGTCCGAGCTACACGACACAGTCGGATGACGTGGCGCATGTGTGACAGGCGCATGCGTAGAAGTAACATGTGGCATGGCATCCGGCTTGAAAAAGCCATTGTTCTCGATCAACATCCGGTAATGGTCCGCGGAAGGTTTTGCTGCTCTGTGGCGTTGTGGGTCCGTGAAGTTGACAGAAAATAATCCCCAAGTGTCTTGGTATCCGTTAAGTTCAAAACTGTTCAATAGAGACCGAACTGTGAACCCTGTCACGTGAAATCCGTCTAGTTCAATAGCTGATCGAAAAATATAATAATCATATAATACAATGATATATATATATATACATTAATATATATACATGTGCATAATTGTGTGTGTATCGATATATCTATCAGTAACACAATGACGTCACCTTTGAATCCGTCGCGAGTTGCCATGAGCAGCAAGCAGTTCATGGGTAATTAGAAATCCCCGAAAAAACGGTTTCCGTTCAATACAACTGTATAAAAGATATTGTATACAACATTGACACTGCAAAATATCATGTTTATCCCAAATCATGACTCCCAGTAACAATGGAGGAACATCTCAATAATGAATGTTTTCTATTTATGATAATACTGTACACATGATGGAATTAAGTCACTACCAATCATTGCTGGAACTGTTAAGTAACCACTCGTGCTATTCCGTGACTGTTTACGGAAATGGCTGAATGGTGACGAATGACAAGAACCCGACCAGGCAGGCTTTCTCCAATCTTATTGAAATGGGATTTTTCCTCCGAAATCCCTGTGCGTGAGATACACCAAAGAAGATCGTGTCACGTGTGAACTGGGTGTATAAAATACACGCCTTATTTATTTATATAATGAACTGGCCGTTAAAGTTCGTTTTCGAGACACATCAAGCTGAAATGGCGGCCTGAATATTTCGCTCACTCGTAGAATTTAGAAACGTCGACGCTGATCTTCACGCGACCTTCTATAGACGAAAGGAAGAACATTTAAATTTTAGGCATTCTTTAAATATTTCTTCGCGGTGAACGGGAAATATTTGAAGCTGGTAAGTCTTGCTATTCTGTTTTATGCACCCTCTACTGAACTAAATTGAACTAAACATGAACGGTCTCGACAGGAACTGCATCTCTTTAATACAATCGCTTGTGACTATAAAGAGAAACGTGTTAAAACGAGGTGTTTGCTACCAATCATGATTTACAGAACAACACATTATCTCGAGGCAAGTGAGAAAGATATTTCGAAAATGCCACATTTTTTTAGAATGCAAATGAATAAACCTTCACTACAGTGTTTATTGCATAGGAGGCGCCTTAAAGAAATCACATTAATATATATAAAAAACATCCTCAGGGGAAGCAGTTATTTAGAGCTTTAACACGTTGTTCCGAGGCACGTGGACCTCGCCCTACTTGCTGCTGAAGTAAGTCAAGATGCAGGTACAAGTGAGAACCTGGCGCTTTCTTTCTTTGCGGCTTACATGAGGTCGCGTGTAAGATTGAAACGTTCTTCTGTTTGCCTTGTCCCATCCAATATGAAGCTTAATCATTTAAGATATTCCTTATTTATTTTACGAAATTATGTTTATGAAATGATAGCAATATTTAAGTGGCGCCGGGAGCTGAGATCATATCCGCTAGAGACCAGGTTGATCGTCAGCATCACGGCGGGGAACACCAGGAATGGGCTTCAAACATTGTACCGGGTCTTCGGCGTGACGAGCGACCGCTTTAACCACTAGACTACCCGACCACCCCTGTTAAATGGAAGGCATCACTGTTGTTTGTGACGTAACAGACGTAACGGTGAAATTATATCTGTTGAATCTGATAGCTAGAGACTTGCCTTACCTTTCAATACTTCGCCCGCATACATATCGATCAGTTGTGACCGAGTTGGCCCTCCCCGGGCCGTCTCCTGTTTCGATATACCCGTCTCTGTGATCAGTACTTCCGGGTTGTTGTACCTGTCCCGGATGTGACGTAGTAACTTCCGTACACCGCTAGGGTTGTACAAGGATGACCGATTCCTGGAAGTTGACACAATATGTATAATAATAATAATAATAATAATAATAATAATAATAATAATAATAATAATCCTTTGCTTTTCTGTATTCACTAAATCTTTTAAGCTTTTTGCTAAGCAAACAGGAAGGTTATCATCCTGGACCTCCTCATCACAGATCCCCAACACCTCTTACTCATCTCCTTTACATGGATGACCTTGAACTTATTGCCAATGGAGGATCTACACTAAAAAACAGATTCTGCTGTTTCTTTTCTAATGATATTGGCATGTCCTTTGGACTCGACAAATGCAACATTCTTCATTTGAAACGTGGCAAGGTAGAGGGAGGATCAGACAGTTTACTTTGGGAAGGAGTTATAGACCATCCCATGGAAGGTCAGGCCTATTCGTTCTTAGGGATGTATATTAGGGACAAACTCCAGAATGCTCACAAGGGCAAACTTCGGTCAGGGTACAAAAGTAGATTTAAGGAAATCTGAATTCAGAGCTGAACGCTCGCAATTAAGTCAAAGCCACAAATACTTATGCTGTGCCCGTCATTTCGTATTCTTTTGGTGTTGTTGATTGGACGAAACAAGATCTGAGGGTATTGACGCCCTCACACGAAGAATCATGTCAGACAATAGATTCCACCACCCTCGCTCTTCCCTTAATCGCTTATATTTACCAATTATGATGGGAGGGCGTGGATTGATTAATGTGGAGGCTCTTCATGATAGAATTGTTTTGTGTACTTTTGCACCCATTTATTTGTCTGATGATACCGTATTACAGAGTCATGGCGAACCTGGCGACCCCAGGATGAGGTATAAGAGTTATCACCTACCCTGGACTCAACTGCAGCGTCAGATGTTTATCCGCCTGTATCCCCACGTGAGCCGTGACGACGTCCAGGTGCTGTACACGTGGTGTCACGTACACGCCTACACCGAGGAAGTCTGCGGTCCCTGGAAACACAAGCAATGTTGGTGTCAGACACTGTCATGCTGTTGCTGCTGCTGCTGCTGCTGCTCCTCCTCCTCCTCCTCCCCCTCCTCCTCCTCCTCCTCCTACTACTACTACTACTACTACTACTACTACTACTACTACTACTAATACAACTACTACTACTACTACTACTACTACTACTACTCCTACTCATTTTAACAAGGAAACAGCGTTATCACTATCCCCCCGTCATTGCGCACATTAGAATTGTGTTTGTTCTTATAGTAGTGAATATGAAGAGTACTATAAAGCCATAAGAAGAGACAAGCACGTGGGCTGGTTTATGTTATCAGAAAAAATGATTAAATGTGAAGGTAATATACACAAAAGGCCCCTTCTTTTGAAAAAATAACTCAGTCTTGATAAGCTAACTGAAGTAGTTAAGTAAGTCTATCTCCGTTGCAGACACTGTGTTTGCACTTAATAAAATAACATGGATCAAGGGACGTAATTCTGTAAAAGAATAATTGACGGGACGCTAGTAGTTGTTCCCATCGCAGACACTAAGCACAAGGTTGAAAAGTACGGAGCAAGGGCAATAACTCTGTAACAAAAATATTTACGGCACCAATTTTCGAGCTTAGTCTTGACAAGTATCTCTTACATAAGCATGCTAACTTTCATTCATGTAATTTCAGTAGTTGCTCGGGAAACTTGTCCCCATTTCACACAGTATGCACTCCATGCATTGTCACATTGTCGCATCGTCGCCTATTTTACACATTTTTGATGGTGCGACAAGGCTACATATTCTGACCTTGAAACATGTCGCGTGTCGCATTGTCACCCTTTGGTGAAATAACAAAATAATATTCAAAGCGCGACAATGCGACAACGCGACAACGCGACAACGCGACAAATAGTTAAAAAGTGTGCATTGTCGCGCAATGACACTTTTTGCATGTTTATGATAGGGCGACAATGCGAGGACGCGACAAAGCGAAAATGCGACAACGCGACAATGGGACAACGCCACAATGTGACAACGCGACAACGGGACAACGCGACAATGTCCCTACTAAGATTCAATAAAGTGATAATCAAATGTCAGAACCAATATTTGGACAGGTGAACTACTACTTGACAACATCAGGAAGGTATTCTACTGTTCTGGAGTTTGGAACTGAATAACAGCGATTGGAATGACAATATTTGTAACTGTCGGAAGCTTTCTTACAAGTTACAGTTCTGTTGACCTTACCAATGGCTCTTTCTCCTTCAAGTACTGCAAATATTGCCTTTCTTTCACACCTTGCGCAACATATGAGGTGAGGTGAGATGAAATGGGGTTTAACGTCGCGTCCAAGATTATTGCACTTATATAGCGACGTGCATGCACGTGTATGTGTGTGTGTGGCTGCTTGTACTAGTCCGGACTGATGCCGATTTATAGTGCTAGCTCACTGAGATACCATGCCTCAGTTTAACATGAATACCAGTATACTGACTCCGAGCCGACCAGTCCTTGTTTTAGCCCCTTAATGCCGAGCGCCAGACAGCGCAACATATGACGACATCTTGAAATGTCCAAGACATTGGTTGCCCGGATGTGTCGCGCACCTTGTCACCTTTTAATGGCATGACAAAATGCAACCCATCTGACGTTTCATGTTTGGGTTCACGTGCCCATTACCATTCCGTGATTCACGTGAGCAGTGTGAGCTGCACGAGCTGTGTGAGCTGCGTGAACTGCATGAGCTGTGTGAGCTGCATGAGCTGCATGAGCTGTGTGAGCTGTGTGCGCTGCACGAGCTTTGTGAGCTGCATGAGCTGCGGGAGCTGCGTGAACTGCATGAGCTGTGTGAGCTGCATGAGCTGCGTGAGCTGTGTGAACTGCGTAAGCTGCATGACCTGTGTGAGCTGCACGAGCTGTGTGAGCTGCGTGAGCTGTATGAGCTGTGTGAGTTGCGTAAGTAGTGTGTGCTGCATGAGCTGCGAGAGCTGTGTGAGCTGCTAGGCTGTGTGAGCGGTATGAGATGCGTGAGCTGTATGAGCTGCGTGAGCTGCATGACCTGTGTGAGCTGCACGAGCTGTGTGAGCTGCATGAGCTGTGTGAGCTGCATGAGCTGTGTAAGCTGCGAGAGCTGTGTGAGCTGCTAGGCTGCGTGAGCGGTATGAGCTGCGTAAGCTACATGAGCTGTGTGAACTGCGTGAGCTGCATGACCTGTGTGAGCTGTGTGAGTTGCATGAGCTGTGTGAGCTGCGTGAGCTGCATGACCTGTGTGAGCTGCTAGAGCTGCATGACCTGTGTGAGCTGCTAGAGCTGCATGAGCTGTGTGAGCTGCTTGAGCTGCATGACCTGTGTGAGCTGTGTGAGCTGCATGACCTGTGTGAGCTGTGTGAGCTGTGTGAGCTGCATGACCTGTGTGAGCTGCATGACCTGTGTGAGCTGTGTGAGCTGCATGACCTGTGTGAGCTGCATGACCTGTGTGAGCTGCATGACCTGTGTGAGCTGCATGAGCTGCTAGAGCTGCGTGAGCTGTATGACCTGTGTGAGCTGTGTGAGCTGCATGACCTGTGTGAGCTGTGTGAGCTGCGTGAGCTGCATGACCTGTGTGAGCTGTGTGAGAGGTTGGAAACAACATGGCGGACATCTCGCAGCACAATATATTTGTAACATGTAAGTAATCTCTAGTTGCGTTTCTTTTGTTGGTAAGGCTACAGGTCGTGAGTAATCTACGCTAAGAGGTTACTAATGGATCGGGTTGTCAGGATTCGGAACTTGGTTGTACATGTCATTGTTTCCCAATTGCGATGATCGATGCTCATGATGTCGGTCACTTGATTGTCTGGCCCAGACTCGATTATTTACATTCCGCCGTCCTATATCGGCACTATTGTTGAGTGCGGCGTGAAGCAATGTTCACTCACTTCCTCTGAGACCCACAAACACACGCACACACGCACGCACACACGCACACACGCACGAGTGCCATCGCTTTATAAGATCCTAGAAGTGCAGTTATCTTGAACGCGACGTTTAAACTCGTTTCACCTCACATCACCTTCTGTGATCCGTCAATCATTATCCAGCCTTCATCAGTCGAGAAGATGAACTTTAATCTAAAAAATCGCTGGTACTTTGACTTTATCTTTCACAAGCATGCTCAATACCTTGATTGGTCTTAATAATGTATGGTAAGTTTTGAAGTAATTCTGTTTGAGGTATCATTGTCTCCTCCAGACTGTTCTACAATACGTCAATTGAGGATGTTGTTTTCACTTAGTGTAGAATGTTTGGCGTGTAGATGTTTTGAAAGATAACCGCATTGAAATGTTGACGTTGCACATGCAGCATGACGTCATCAACGTATGTGCAAGGTGTTACCAAAATAATTCCGCTGTCTAGAATTCCTGGAGAGACAAGAAAGCCAAGCTGTGTAACCGATGGGAATGTGAAGATTTTATGTCAGCTTCAACCAGTACATTTGTACTAACCTAAGTTTACTTGAGTTTCAGGATTTTTAGCGATACCAACAATCACACATGCAATAATAATAATAATAATAATAATAATAATAATAATAATAATAATAATAATAACAACAACAACAACAACAACAACAACAACAATAATAATAATAACAACAACAACAACAACAACAATAATAATAATAATAATATTAATAATAATAATATTAATTTTAACAAAATAAATCGATATTTTAAGGAAATTACACAGAACCGTCTCACCTTTTATTTGTTGTCGGTCGTCGTGGTCCATGGCTAGGAGACTGGCGGGGGAGGGGTAGTTCCCAATGCCTAGGATAGGGTCCACCATCAGACCGAGGTCAAACTCCATGTTCCTGGTCGCCGCCTCAACGTCCGCGGGGTCACGGGGGTCAGCCGGCTCCGTCCACATCGCGGACACCGATATGCCGACCTGTCCTACAAGACGGAGTGAGTGAGTGAGTGAGCATTGGGTGAGTGAGTGAGTGAGTCTCCCCACCGCCATAGGAGAAAAACAGTTACGGCTTTGGTGAAACACGTGGTACGGGTTTTTTGGTGATCAACCAAGGTTCATCATGGCTCAAACTGTATTAACAGCGTATCCTTGTCCCAACCGAGGCACTCGCATCGCATCGCTTCGCGTCCTATGGCATGGTATCTTGTCCTGTCTTATTGTATCGTGTCGTATCGTATCGTATTGAATCGTGTCATATCGTGTTGTATTGTGTCGTGTCGTATCGTGTTGTGCCGTGTGGTGTCGCATCGTGTTGTATCGTATGGTATGGTATTGTGCCGTATCGTATTGTGTCGTATCGTGTCTTATCGTATCGTATCGTATGGTATGGTATCGTGTTGTGTCGTGTGATATCGTATCGTGTGGTATCGTATCGTATTGAATCGTGTCGTATCGTGTTGTATTGTGTCGTGTCGTATTGTGTCGTGTCGTGTCGTATCGTAGTGTGTCATGTTGTATCGTATGGTATGGTATCTTGTTGTGTCGTGTGATATCGTATCGTGTGGTATCGTATCGTATCGTATGGTATTGTGCCGTATCGTATTGTGTCGTTTCGTGTCGTATCGTAATGTGTCATGTCGTAATGTGTCGTATCGTATCGTGCCGTGTAGTATGTTGTCGTATTATGTCATGTGGGGTCGTTTCGTATCGTGTAGATGTGGTAAGGTTGCCTAATGGTTAAAGCGCTCGCTTGTCACGCCGATGTTCCGGGTTTGACTCCCCACATGGCTACGATGTGTGAAGGGGCGGTCGGGTAGCCTAGTGGTTAAAGCGCTCGCTTGTCACGCCGGTGTTCCGGGTTTGACTCCCCACATGGCTACGATGTGTGAAACGTCAGGAGTGCCAGATGTTGTCTTGAACGTTTTCAACAGTGCATAAATCCAAATAACTTACATCAGAATAATTAAAAGACTTCTTTTCAACTTTTCATTAATCATACATAACTGTGCTCAACGCAAATGCCGTTTTGTTGAAAAAAGATTAACTTAAGCAGTGACAGATTCAAAACATCATTCCTAGCCTTGCTGGAGAGTTTTGTATTTATCCTGGTACAGCCTGTAGGCGGCGGCGTTCGCCCGCAGCATCGTGAGCACCGCCCTGTAGGCGTCTGTGCCGTACTTGAAGGCCGCCTGGTAGGGTTTGTTGAAATTGATCCACGTTTTCACCTGAAATAAGTTATTTAAAGTCTTGCAAGTAGTGACAGTCAGTAGTACAGGAGTGCAATATTGTCTTGTATACTTAGATATCCGATTACATCACTACTATTGATGAATTACTTCTGTCTGATTACTTCTGTCAAATTAATTCTGATGGATAACTTCTGCGGAATTACTTCTGTCGGATTATTTCTGTGGAATTACTTCTGTGGAATTCATTCGGATTACTTCTGCCGGATTACATGTGTCGAATTACTTCTGTCGGATTACTTTTGTCGAATTACATCTATCAAATTACTTCTGATGAATACCTTCTGTCGAATTACTTCTGCTGACTCTTTAATAGTTAACTTTATCTCAGAACGCCCGTGTGCAACATTAGCATACAAACCAACCCATAATACGGTGGATAAAGATTTCAATTTCAGGAGCAATAACGTCATTAACTGAAATAACACCGAGGTTGATGTTATTTTTACCCTGTCGCCAAACTGCTGAAAACACGTGTCTGCATACTCCACATAGTCGTCAATAGCGGTGTCATTCACCCAGCCGCCATTGCTAGCCAGCCATAGAGGAAGGTCCCAGTAATGGAGAGTGACCACAGGTCGGACGCCGGCATCTGTCAGCGAGTCCAGCAAGTCGTTGTAGTACCCCACACCCTTCTGGTTGACCGCGCGTGAGGGGGTCATGATGCGTGACCAGGAGACCCCGAACACATAGTGCTGAGCCTGAAACAGTCAGGAAGTAGGTCTTAACGCCGCTTCTAGTTTTCAAGTGGATTCCAAGAATTGGCTTTCAAGACCAGCAAACAGCAAGACAGTGAGTGAGTAAGATGTAATGACGGATCTAGCAATACTCTGGATTCCAAACACACATGTTATCCTATGATCATGAAATGCAACGAATGCCTAACAAAATTTAAACCTTTAAACAAATGTTTAGTGGCTAGAGGTAAAAGTGATCGCTCCTCGCTCACTCACATTGATGCCCTGGTTCGATAACATGTATGCGTCCTATCTTATCAGATACTTAACACAAACAAACATCCTCTATGTATCTGTGGTGAAATGGCCTCACCTTGACAGCCTTGAACGCACCGACATCCTCTTTATATCTATGGCGGAACAGCCTCACCTTGACAGCCTTGAGAGCAACGACATCCTCTATGTATCTATGGTGGAACAGCCTCACCTTGACAGTCTTGAGAGCACCGACATCATCTATGTATCTATGGTGGAACAGCCTCACCTTGACAGCCTTGAGAGCACCGACATTCTCTGTGTATCTATGGTGGAACAGCCTCACCTTGACAGCCTTGAGAGCACCGACATCCTCTATGTATCTATGGTGGAACAGCCTCACCTTGACAGTCTTGAGAGCACCGACATCCTCTATGTATCTATGGTGGAACAGCCTCACCTTGACAGCCTTCAGAGCACCGACATCCTCTATGTATCTATGGTGGAACAGTCTCACCTTGACAGTCTTGAGAGCACCGACATCCTCTATGTATCTATGGTGGAACAGCCTCACCTTGAGAGTCTTGAGAGCATGGACATCCTCTATGTATCTATGGTGGAACAGTCTCACCTTGACAGTCTTGAGAGCACCGACATCCTCTATGTATCTATGGTGGAACAGCCTCACCTTGACAGCCTTCAGAGCACCGACATCCTCTATGTATCTATGGTGGAACAGTCTCACCTTGACAGTCTTGAGAGCACCGACATCCTCTATGTATCTATGGTGGAACAGCCTCACCTTGAGAGTCTTGAGAGCATGGACATCCTCTATGTATCTATGGTGGAACAGTCTCACCTTGACAGTCTTGAGAGCACCGACATCCTCTATGTATCTATGGTGGAACAGCCTCACCTTGACAGTCTTGAGAGCACCGACATCATCTATGTATCTATGGTGGAACAGCCTCACCTTGACAGTCGTAAGAGCACCGACATCCTCTATGTATCTATGGTGGAACAGCCTCACCTTGACAGTCTTAAGAGCACCGACATCCTCTATGTATCTATGGTGGAACAGCCTCACCTTGACAGTCTTGAGAGCACCACATCCTCTATGTATCTATGGTGGAACAGCCTCACCTTGACAGTCTTGAGAGCACCGACATCCTCTATGTATCTACGGTGGAACAGCCTCACCTTGAGAGTCTTGAGAGCACCGACATCCTCTAAGTATCTATGGTGGAACAGCCTCACCTTGACAGTCTTGAGAGCACCGACATCCTCTATGTATCTATGGTGGAACAGCCTCACCTTGACAGTCTTGAGAGCACCGACATCCTCTATGTATCTATGGTGGAACAGCCTCACCTTGACAGTCTTAAGAGCACCGACATTCTCTGTGTATCTATGGTGGAACAGCCTCACCTTGACAGTCTTGAGAGCACCGACATCCTCTATGTATCTATGGTGGAACAGCTTCACCTTGAGTCTTGAGAGCACCGACATCCTCTATGTATCTATGGTGGAACAGCCTCACCTTGACAGTCTTAAGAGCACCGACATTCTCTGTGTATCTATGGTGGAACAGCCTCACCTTGACAGTCTTGAGAGCACCGACATCCTCTATGTATCTATGGTGGAACAGCCTCACCTTGACAGTCTTGAGAGCACCGACATCCTCTATGTATCTATGGTGGAACAGCCTCACCTTGAGAGTCTTGAGAGCACCGACATCCTCTAAGTATCTATGGTGGAACAGCCTCACCTTGACAGTCTTGAGCGCACCGACATCCTCTATGTATCTATGGTGGAACAGCCTCACCTTGACAGTCTTGAGAGCACCGACATCCTCTATGTATCTATGGTGGAACAGCCTCACCTTGACAGTCTTAAGAGCACCGACATTCTCTGTGTATCTATGGTGGAACAGCCTCACCTTGACAGTCTTGAGAGCACCGACATCCTCTATGTATCTATGGTGGAACAGCTTCACCTTGAGTCTTGAGAGCACCGACATCCTCTATGTATCTATGGTGGAACAGCCTCACCTTGACAGTCTTAAGAGCACCGACATTCTCTGTGTATCTATGGTGGAACAGCCTCACCTTGACAGTCTTGAGAGCACCGACATCCTCTATGTATCTATGGTGGAACAGCCTCACCTTGACAGTCTTGAGAGCACCGACATCCTCTATGTATCTATGGTGGAACAGCCTCACCTTGACAGTCTTGAGAGCACCGACATCCTCTATGTATCTATGGTGGAACAGCCTCACCTTGAGAGTCTTGAGAGCATGGACATCCTCTATGTATCTATGGTGGAACAGCCTCACCTTGAGAGTCTTGAGAGCATGGACATCCTCTATGTATCTATGGTGGAACAGCCTCACCTTGAGAGTCTTGAGAGCATGGACATCCTCTTTGTATCTATGGTGGAACAGCCTCACTTTGAGAGTCTTGAGAGCATGGACATCCTCTTTGTATCTATGGTGGAACAGCCTCACCTTGACAGTCTTGAGAGCACCGACATCCTCTATGTATCTATGGTGGAACAGCCTCACCTTGACAGTCTTGAGGGCACCGACATCCTCTATGTATCTATGGTGGAACAGCCTCACCTTGACAGTCTTAAGAGCACCGACATCCTCTATGTATCTATGGTGGAACAGCCTCACCTTGACAGTCTTGAGAGCACCGACATCCTCTATGTATCTATGGTGGAACAGCTTCACCTGAGTCTTAAGAGCACCGACATCCTCTATGTATCTATGGTGGAACAGCCTCACCTTGACAGTCTTGAGAGCACCGACATCCTCTATGTATCTATGGTGGAACAGCCTCACCTTGACAGTCTTGAGAGCACCGACATCCTCTATGTATCTATGGTGGAACAGTCTCACCTTGACAGTCTTGAGAGCACCGACATCCTCTATGTATCTATGGTGGAACAGCCTCACCTTGACAGTCTTGAGAGCACCGACATCCTCTATGTATCTATGGTGGAACAGCCTCACCTTGACAGTCTTAAGAGCACCGACATCCTCTATGTATCTATGGTGGAACAGTCTCACCTTGACAGTCTTGAGAGCACCGACATCCTCTATGTATCTATGGTGGAACAGCCTCACCTTGACAGTCTTGAGAGCACCGACATCCTCTATGTATCTATGGTGGAACAGCCTCACCTTGACAGTCTTGAGAGCACCGACATCCTCTATGTATCTATGGTGGAACAGCCTCACCTTGAGAGTCTTGAGAGCATGGACATTCTCTGTGTATCTATGGTGGAACAGCCTCACCTTGACAGTCTTGAGAGCACCGACATCCTCTATGTATCTATGGTGGAACAGCTTCACCTTGAGTCTTAAGAGCACCGACATCCTCTATGTATCTATGGTGGAACAGCCTCACCTTGACAGTCTTGAGCGCACCGACATCCTCTATGTATCTATGGTGGAACAGCCTCACCTTGACAGTCTTGAGAGCACCGACATCCTCTATGTATCTATGGTGGAACAGCCTCACCTTGACAGTCTTGAGAGCACCGACATCCTCTATACGTCGTACAAAGAAGTTGTTATCCATTAGAAAGTGTCATGTATTCATGTTCTTCCAACTTCTAAATGCCTATCACAGACATTTCAAGCTTAGTGTACAACGGCTACAACAACATTGCGACAACGCGAACATATGGGAGGCATGGTTGACGTTACAGCGCCATCTGGTGGCTGTGTCACGGACATGCAATAGTCCGACCCTGTGTAGATGAAATAAACACTCAAAATACTGGAATTTCTGTGTAACCGGGGCCGTTCATAAATACCACGGGTCGTTGTATGTAAGGAGGATTTATTGACGACAGTAGTCAGAACAAAAGCCCTGAAACATATGTCAAAATATATACACTCTTCAAAAAAAAAAGAAACGACCAGGTAGTATGTGGTTCAATGACGCTGACTACACACAAAATCCGGTATGTAATTGGATATATGTTATTTGAAAATGTTGGTGGCCTGATTTTCGACAATATCTCACAATATTTTACATGTCATGGAGGAAAACAGTAAAGCAAAATGCACGTGCAAGTTATGGCATTCGTAACTCGTGGTAGTGGCTATAAAAAGGCAAGCATAGGCCAATAATTTGTCATTTAATTGTCAACATTTTTCAAGCCCGAAAGTCCTGGGTTTAATAGCCTCACATCGCATCACAACGGTATTATCACTTTCCGTTTCATTTATTCCTACTTTTATTAAAACTATTGGAATACACATCGGGCTTGCAAATCACTGTTTATAAATTACTCCTTATTTGTATTACAGAACGTAGCTACCTTAATGCCCCATTATAATCATCTTCCGTTTATCAGTCCGATTTGGGAGTTTTTAACTATGTAAATATGCGTATGCATTTCGGCCACTGTTCGTTTATCAGTCCATATTTTGGTATTAACCAGGTAAACATAAGTCGTGCTCCTGCGCAATCTTTCCCTTTGTTCTCTGCAGTCAGCCATTAATCGTACCTTGTGTATTTTAAAGTGCAATCGATGTCCCACCTTCACCCACAACACCACCTTTATTTGCAGGTCATCGATCGCTCCCGGTCTCATTTGATATTCTTCTCATCCGTTTAGGTGATGTCCTCCAACACCAATTAACACATATGTATTTGTGTGTGTGTGTGTGTGTGTGTGTGTGTGTGTGTGTTTATAGGTATGTATGTATGTATGTATGTATGTATGTATGTATGTATGTATGTATGTATGTATGTATGTATGTATGTAGGTAGGTAGGTAGGTATGTAGGTAGGTATGTAGGTAGGTAGGTAGGTATGTATGTATCATGTTATGTTTTACCTCATGCTTTGCAGGTGTTTTGTTTAGTACCACCATGCCATGTACATCATGGTATTCTCGTGGAGCCGGCGGCATCATAACCCTAAAGGGCATGTTTTACCCCAAAATAATCTGTCAATAATTCACAGTTGCTTTGGTCGAGCACACAACTTCAGTCGGCTGTACTCGTTTGTTTGTCGCTACACTGTTATCTGTAGTTAGTTTATACCCGTCGAGGTATCGTTTGTCAGCTACACTGTTATCTGTAGTTAGTTTATACCCGTCCGGGTATCGTTTGTCAGCTACACTGTTATCTGTAGTTTGTTTATACCCGTCGAGGTATCGTTTGTCAGCTACACTGTTATCTGTAGTTAGTTTATACCCGTCGAGGTATTGTTTGTCAGCTACACTGTTATCTGTAGTTAGTTTATACCCGTCGAGGTATTGTTTGTCAGCTACACTGTTATCTGTAGTTAGTTTATACCCGTCGAGGTATTGTTTGTCAGCTACACTGTTATCTGTAGTTAGTTTATACCCGTCGAGGTATTGTTTGTCAGCTACACTGTTATCTGTAGTTAGTTTATACCCGTCGAGGTATTGTTTGTCAGCTACACTGTTATCTGTAGTTAGTTTATACCCGTCGAGGTATTGTTTGACAGCTACACTGTTATTTGTAGCTTGTCTTGCGTCAGACTACAGCCCAGTGAATGCGTAACTCAATTGTCGTCACGTAGCACACCCATAGTTAGCTTACCCATCAGGGTAATTTAGTACCGTTTTATTTCGTCAATAAACAGTGTGCTACAGGCTCAACGAGAATCCCCAATTAAGCCAAATCAGTAAACATTAAATGTAACATTTGCCTCATGTTGTCTTGTCCGAATCAGAGGAGGTAAACTAGGAATTGGGGAAACTGGAGACGAGTGTGGTTTAGCGATGAATAACAATTTCGCAATTTCATTCACCGGCGAGATGGGAGACAACGTATTTATCGTCGTCGAAATGAGCGTTTTGGCCAACACTGTGTACGTGAATTCGACAATTTCGGTGGCGGTAGTGTCATGGATTTGGGGGCCACCATATCATACACCAGAAAATCTGACTCAGGGAAATTTGACAGCAAATCGCTACATGAATCAAATTCTTCAAACTCACCTTCTTCCAATCATTGACCGCCAGAGGAAGCTGTTTCAATAGAACAACTTTCCACCGCACACAGCTCGTGTCACGGCAGACTACCTTCACAATGCCAACATTAACGACCTGCCCTGGCCATCGAGATCTCCAGATCTCAACCCAATCGAACACCTCTGGGATGAACTCGATCGACGTGTACATCGACGTCAGAACACGCCGCAGACACTCCAACAATTGGCCAACGCGTTACAAGCAGAATGGCGTAGAATTCCGCAGGAGAGAATTCGTACACTTATCTAGTCAGTGCCGAGGAGATGCCGAGCCATGATTGCTGCCCGGGGCGATCACACGAGATACTGAATTCAGCGCCCCCTTGTGGCCTTATGAACTGTTTTTAATGCCTTTGTACAACGACAACATGTGACCATCGAGCTCCAATATTTCATTTTTGTATCTTTGATATTAAATTTCATATATCGACTTTATTAGGTACAATAAATGTGCTAAAAACCTACCTTGCGTTTCTTTTTTAGAAGAGTATATACACGTACTATCATCGATGTTTAAGCATATTCTCCATTTAAAAAAAAAAATGAAGCGCATTATGTATATTTTTCATAATGGATAATCGAGGGTGATATTTCTGCAAAACATCTTGTATGTTCAGAGTATTAAATAAAATAAAATTAATGAAATTAACTGTTTCGGAAGAAAATATCTTGACAATAATTTGTCTGCACTGGCTTAGGACCAAATGTAAGGTTAACGGCTGCAAACTGTACAGTTATTGTGACTTATCTGATCAGGAAATGGGTTAACAAGTGGGCAACTTGCATTTGAGTTGCATGTAAACTACATGTAGTTCCCGGATCTTTCAGCGCAACGTCAAAATAGATGCTGTTCAGCGAACCTGAGCCGGATGTGACGTCAGATACAATGAGGGTTATAATGACTCCGAGCTTGCGCATGTTGACGACGTGCTGAGAGAGCCGGGAACCTGCTTCACGTGCCAAGTTCAGGAACCACGGGTAGGAGTGTCAGCAAGGAATCTTTGGTTAAGAAAGTGGTTGTTGCATTGTTTTCACTGTTTTCAAAGAGGTTCATGGCAACATGCACTCTCCTACCCAGAGTTCCATGCGGCCAGTATAGTACCTCTGCCACAGGCCAGCGCCATCTTACACAGTCCATTCATGATATTGCATATACATGTCATCTGTTTCATTATTGACAAGTCTACATATCTAGATAACCATATATCATAGGCTGGTTAACTTTCATTGAGAAAATATCCTAACCCGTGAACAGCTGTTTCCATTTTGCCTAGTCATCCTATGTTTACATTGGTTGTACGGCTCCACGTGCTGTCATCGAAGCCCTAAGGAGAGCTAGCGATACGGTCACTTTGATATGTAAATAAGCATTGTCATGCAACTCACTGTCGCAGTTGTAGTAGCATATCTATATATTAATGCAAAACAATATGTAAAGCGCCCCCAAATACTTGCATTTGTCCGTTCTGTTCTGATTTCTGAAAAAGCGCGTTTGTTTTCAAACACGAAAAAAGTCCGGTCACGTGATATGCAAATTAGCCTGTGGTAGTGGTGTTATGCCGCTGCGCGGGAGTGCGGGCAACATGATGACATATGAAAGCATTGTCGCAAATAATTGAAGATGAAGTCGTGCACTCTTCATGACGCCACTCGCTATTTAATAAAAACGTCATTCCAACAATACAACAATAAGTGAGTTGTGACAAGCTGAGGAAACTACACAAAAGGAATTCACAGGGGATAATCCGTTGTGTCTCGTTGGTTAATCTCTAAATGTTTCAGAGCAGAATCAGCACGGCCAGAAAGGAAACATTGAGGCAGAACATGGTCAGGGTGAAGATCCGTCTGAAGATGACGTCTACTCTCAAAGCCAGCATCTTCCACGACATCTGCTCCACCTTCCTCGACACCTGCTCCACCTTCTGCTCGAGCGACTGCTGACAGCTGACATCCCGGTTTCTGTAACCGATGGCGGAGTCGTATTCCTCCTTGACCTCTGAACTGTCACTTTGTTGGTGTTTGGCCACGTGGTCGGTGCGACATGGACCCAAGTGTAGAATAACTGCCATCAGCCATCTTTGCTTTGGGGTGCTTTCGTCTTGGCGGTAAAGAGATGCCACTGTCGTTGCCAGGGTTACGTTCAGTGTGCACATAGTGAACATGACGACCAAGTACAAGGCTACAAAAAGAACAGAAGGGATTTAACATTCCATTGATGATGATGCATGTATTTTTTGTGAGTATTGATTCACTAGCTTCCAGGATTGTTGAACTGTTGCACACAATGTCATCGGGGACCTTACAAGTCAACACCAGATCAGTGAAACAAGGGGCCTGCTTGAGAGTCAATCTTCACGATGTGTAAGGAAATATATACGAATTTCTTTGTTAGGGAACGAAACCCCACACTGGGCGATGTGGTATGAACGTATATTAATGTTTTTAATTCTAATTTTAATTTTAAGATAATGTGACAAGTCCTTAGTGTGATTCCACCCATCTTAATGTCCGTAGGATTTAAATTAACTCAAGGACTCTGGGTATTATTTAAAATCAATATTTGAAACTGGTGTTACATGGCAGTGTAATATATTGTTAAACAATGATTGTAACTGTATTACATCGTTTCTGTTAAGATTTAATTGTATTGGACACTGATTAGTCGTCAGGAATGTAGTACGACTAATGTAAGCAGTGGTGAAGAATTTATTATATTTAGATGGTCGAATTATCAGTTAACGTCCGGAATAGCATGGATTGATGTCAAGCATTACAGAAACATGTGGAATATTCTGTGATGTTCAAGTAACACTGGACTGATCTGGCACTGTGTGGAAAGTCCTTGAAGCTGCTTAGGCAATATAGGTGGAGCGGGCGCGTGCCTGTCTCATCTCACATTTCATCTGACACTACATCAAGATGCTTCGCATGATCACATTTCCTCCTGGTGTTCATCCTAGGCCCATCCCTGGAGCCTGACCACTGTTGATGCTGGGTGACTATTATTCTTGTCATTATCATTTCCCCTGCTCTGGCATATCAAAGTGTCATTGAATATTGTACTACCACTCGTACCGACACGTAACACCTGTTCTGTAAGCAGAAGAATAGCATTAAAAAACACTCACTCACACACACCCAACCACCCGCCCACCCCCTCACTCACCCATGACGGAAACCTCCTTGGATGTTTCCGGAATGTCATCAGACACGACGGACAACAGGAGAACATAGGACAGCAGGACGGACAGCGCGTAGCTGATCTTCTCGCCGGTGTCGGGAGGGACGTAGAAGACGAGGGTGCTGGCGAAACTCAGCAACATGACGGGGATGAGGGTGCTGACGATGTGGAACAGGGGCTTCCTGGTCAGATGAAGTGTGAATACCGTCTGGTAGGTGTTGTCGGTCTTGGGCCTTCGTTCCGCGTGATGATCGGAGATCCACCATTCACTGCTCTCCAGAAAGTCACCGATGTCGATCGTGTCGCTTGTCAGATGTAACAACAGTCTAGGGATAAACAAGGGATTGAATCAGCGAAAGATGTGAAACCTGGCGTCCATTTTAAAACGCAAGTCCTGTAAGTCCGGTAACCTCGTGGACAGCTTTTCAGCAGAATCCGTCCACCTACTTTACCATCCAAGATGTCAAGGTAATAGGAATCAGATCATTTGTATCAATTTTACATTATGTTCATTTTTATGTAAGAAACATCGTAATCGTGTAAACGTGATAGGTCTTCTTAACTGAATTACCTTTAAACTTGTATACCAATCAGTTAAGCCGTATTCTGGACTGGAGGTGTGTTGCCTGTATCACATTAAGTGATTGTATACGTACTTCATACGTGGCCATAAGTAAGTTCCTAAGACATCACGGCTGTTCGTCAGTGGCGGAAAGCTGGGATAACTTTTACAAGCAAAATATCGAAAAGTATTTGATGGAATTACCTGAGATTTCCAGTATTTAATGAAATGTCCTCGTCCCCGCAACACAGGAGGAAGAAGGAAGAGGCGCTGTATATAATGAGATACTAACTTGGTCCCTCGTCACTTTCTTCTCTTATCAGATCATACTTTGTGTTTATCTCCCCCATACGTATCGCCACTTTATATTCCACTTCTTTCCAAACATTTATTTTCAGATTTCCACTGGTTAGTCCGTATTGAAACATGCAAGGACCCAGCCGTCATGATGGAAATGTCGGGCAATAACCGGCCATAGACAAGTATCTGATGCCTATCATTTCTGCAATTTTCAGTCTTGAATAATCGTCATTTGACAGATTGATAATCATTTTCTTTTGGTCAGGTATAATTTTCCCTGCTACGCGGTGCGATCGCAGAAGAAGACAACAAAATTGTAAACAATGGGGGTTAATCAGTAAACGACGAAGAGGCATACAACACACGTGTTTTGAGGTTCCTGTGAGTTACAGATGTCAAGACCTGTCATGAACCGTTAGAGTCAATAAACAGTTTCTGAGATAATAACGTCAACCCTTTTTGGAACTTACTTATGGCCAGTGTCATTGTTCAATCATTCAGGGGCGGTGGGTGAGTCTTGTGGTTATTGTGTTCGCTCTTCGCGCCAAAGGCCAATGTTCGATTCCCAATTGGGAACAATGCGTAAAGTCCATTGCTGGTGTAACCCTACGTGATAATGGTGGTATATTGCCAAGAACGGCCTAAAACTCCATTCACTCACTCACGGGTTCGTTCACCGTGACGAGATGACGCACAACGACCAGGCAGTACATATTTAGTTCAGGCCCAAACATGAACACTGGAATAAGATCCGTACCCGTCTTCCCAGGAGACCACAGTAATATCGCAGACTTGGTCGTCAAATGGATACGTCAGGATACTGACGTCACAGTACGTTTGATGGACGACGGGGATTTTCCACGTGACGTTCCCGTCGCTCGTGACGTCCAGGGGTACCGCCAAGTCATCCGACCCCATCACACTCATGTGCTCAACTCTGCAGAGACGCGAATTAATGAACTCACGCAGGAAACGGAAAACTTGACAGCAAATATCTTTCAAAAAGAAGCACAATAATGTTACCGAATAATCTGATGTTTCTGGATACAGGAGAAAACTGTAGAAGAACAAGAGGAATTCAGAGCTGAAAATGTTCCACAAATGACAATGTATTTACATTATTACTTTTTGGTGTAAGTTAGATGTTGTGGATTAAACACGACTCTGAGGTTCTGGTTGAAAATGTAAAACCGCGCACTCAAAGTTTTACATTTTCAACCAAAACCGAGGAGGAGTGTCTTGAGTGCAAAACAAATATCAGATACCAAATTGTAAAGCAATACAGTGTGTCGTGGTATAAACGAAATTCGGTCAAAGCATGCGAGAGAAAGACCACATGCAGCATGTACACAACTGAAGTCATGACAAGTAAACTAAAAAGCTCAGATAAGTATTATGTCCTTTTCGGTCCGTGGTGTACCACGTGAGTGGCCCGTACCCTGAGTATTATCAGCTTTTGTCTCGCGACCAACAAACAGTCGGCGTAAACTTGTCAGTATTTGCATTTGCGATGACAAAATCGCGGAAACTGCGTTACAGTTGTTATTCGATGCCGAGGGCCAAAACATGCCATACTCAGAGTCGTCCAATCGCGGCCTACGACACGTCGTTCGCTGCCAGTTTAATCGTTCAGATAGACAGGTTCCCAGTCCAACTCACGTGTTCTGTACAACAACTGTCGGCGTCCACACCTCCGTGCTTTTCACGCGGGCACTGGAGACGCCCCCATACTGATCCGATAGCCAGGACACCCTCCCGTCCCGCCATTGCTGGGACATCCAGTAGGAATACAAGTATAGCCAGTAAGAATACAAGTATAGCTAGTAGGAATACAAGTATAGTCAGCGAAATGTACCTGACACCTGATACCTGTGTGTTTTACAAAATCACATCAAAGTAAAAAAAATCATTACAGATTACGATATTTTAAATTTGAGGAGTTCACAGACCTGAAAATAGGAATTGAGCAATAAACTTACCCAATTTGAACATATACGGCTTTTAAGTGGAAAAAAGTGTGTTTACACGAAAAAAGGGAACGAAGAAGTTATATTATTTATAGAACTGTGTCTGTAGCGGAAACCAAAGAGGGAACTTACGATTGTAAACCAGCCTGACGTCATCAGTGTCTGGGTTCGCATATTCTGTGAAATACAAAACACGTGATCACAGCATCACTGCACGCGGATCATCATCACCTGGATCATCACTGATTTTCAATGATCCATTCATAGGATTTCACCACTTTTCAGCCTTTAATGCCCAGTTGCATCATTTCCGCAGATAACCGAGACTGGTTATTCCGTCGCGTTGACGTTTGTGAGTGAGTGAGTGAGTTAAAATGAAGATAACAGTCCTATACCTGTCACAATGGACAGTAATTATTGGCACGATGTCACAGATTGAATTGACCACTTCAAATATTTAAACATTCAAATCAAAACATCAATATTACATTTCTCTCTATTTTAATAATAAACGCGACAAAACCCTTTCCATAATCATTAGAAATATCTACTACACGCAGTCAGTTGCACGATTCTGACTCAATCAGGTTTCTGAATCACTGTTAAATAGTGATGCCACCATGTGATCGCGAAAAGGTCAGCGTATCCTGCCCCACCGGTGGCACCCGTCACAAACACGTGCAAAGGCAAGTCATTTGTTCAATTGAAAAAAAAGCCGGGAACAGATGGTACAAGTCAAAATAGGGAATTGCATCGAACATTATATTTGTCATTGATGCATCAAATTTGGAAATGTCCTCCATGTCTTCAATAAACCTAAGCAAGCGTCGTATGACGCTCTTTGAAATCTTGGTAGAAAGAGCATGCTTGATTGCAGCTCAGAAGTTGAGAAATGTGACCACCACAGGCTGAGCTGCTGGAATATTGCTCGACATAAAGTAAAAGTTGACTATTGGAAAGTTGAAGTCATCCCTCTTGTCATACAGTCTTGTGGAGAGTGTTTTGTCACTCTGAATCTTTATGCATACATCTAAAAATGAAACAGATGAGGCGGTCTCACTGGTCTCCTGTATTTCTAGTTCAGGTGGGTAAATCGGTGGAAGGGAATTGGCTGGTTTTTTAACGATATCAGATCATCGCTATACCTGAAGCCTAAGTGGTCAAAGTACCTTGTTTTGACTCCGAGAGACAGATTGATTCATGTGCAGAAAGAAACACACCCGCAAGAAGGGGGCGCAATTGGTGCCCATGGGGATGCCTACTTCTTGCCTTAATGTCTTACCCCAAAATGTTACATAGATGTGATCAATTAACACCTGCCACTAGCAGCGACGCCTAGAATACCTTACTTGGTACCGCGGGGACAGCATCTCTGCTTCCTGCGTCATTTAGCAGGATTTACAACATCACTTCAGCTTCTTGTGATTGCTGGCGGTACTAACCACAATATTAAGTTGGTTTGTTGGTTTGTTGTTTAACGCCGCACCCAGCAATATACCAGGTATATGACGGTCTGTAAATAATAGAGTCTGTACCAGACAATCCAGTGATTAATATCATAAGCATTGATCCACGCAATTGGGATCGATGACATGTATCAACCAAGTCAGCGAGCCTGACCACCCGATCCCGTTAGTCGCCTCTCACGGCAAGCATGGGTTGCTGAAGACCTATTCTACCCCGGATCTTACCCCGGATCGTCACGGGTCAAACATTCAAAAGATAACACAAAGCGACAAGATCCTTACTGAACATATCTATTCGATTTTCATAGGATTGGGATGTTCCAAAGTATTGATCTAGACTACCAGTTGTCGGACTTTCATTTTGTGGAAGCCTCGGTGGCTGAGTGGGTTAGATCGCTGACTTTGTGTGCTGGCGATTAGGTGCCTCACTCTGGCAGTATGGTTTCGAATCCCGCACGGGGAAAAAAAGTACGAGAATCTGTACTTTACTAAGAAAGTGTTATCCCAAATATAACATTTCTTACGTTCTTATAATGGCTTTGTGTGAGGTAGAAAAGCAGTGTTAAAATTTAAATCATGTGGAATTCTTTTGGTAAACAAATGTTTCGTAAAGGTGAATAATACTATCCTGAAGTTTTGTGAAATAGAAGATGAAAGTTATGAACTATTTTGTTGCCCATGTTGAGCAGTAGAACATAATTGGTACTTGCAAGAATATAGAGCTAATTTTTATTCTATAGTGGATGCAGCAAAATTATGTACAACTTCAATTTTACAACAACAAAAAACTGCTTAAATTGTCAATAAAACTGTACACTGTTCTTTGCATGAGACAGTGAGTGAGTTGGGTTTTAACAGTGTTCCAGTTACAGCACGGCGTGGTTCTTTGTATGAAACTGGATATTAAGATGCACCTATAAATGTTAGATATACGTAATGTAAGTAGGTAAGGATAAGATATGTGGATGAACAACTTCTATATGACAATTAGGGTCTAACACTGTTATCAAGCGAGTGGTTGTGTAAGAACCTACACCGAAACCTTGTCCTGATTGTAATAAAGAAGTTGGCTATTCATTTATCTTATCCTTACTCAGTACTCCAACTCCTAAATGCCTCTGAGGGATGTTCTATGTAATGTACCATGGGGCAGACGGCTCGGAATTGTGAATCTTTCACGTGCGTGTTGAATTTGGAAGAATGAGAAAACATTAAACACAAGTTTGCTGTGTGTAACCACGTATCAGTGCTTCATCTTGTCCCTTCATCAGGGCACAATAAAGAATTTGTTATTCATAAAAAGTGTCATGTCCTCCCCATATTGCTTTTATCTGTTCGTTTGTGTTCACCACATATACGATACCTAGCCACAGGCAAACGTCTAATGTAGGATTTGACCTTGACTAGGAACCCCAAAATTCATATAAAACAAATATAACAACAAAGTAATATGTAAATAACTTAGGATAAAAAAATCATTATCATTATAAAAAAATACTCGCAAATATTAATTAAAAAAAATATTATTTTAAAACATTAAATAATCTTGTGTTCTCAGAGTAAAGACACATAGCATGTGCACCAGTTTGTGGATGTTGAGTAGGCTGAACCCGACGGCCACGCTGGTGACGTTGGACGGCCTGACCAACACGTCGTTATAGTCGCTCAGGAACGACTTTCGCAGCAGCGACGAGGTCTGGTGGTAGCTGACGTCGCAAGTGCCAGACACGACTGAAATGAATGAATGAATGAATGAATGAATGAATGAAACCAGAAGATCATAGAAAGGCAAATAGATAATTGATTTTCTTATATGATCAGTCGTTAGGAAGTTACTATATTTAGATGCAAGTGTGGTGTTTAAACTACCGGTCCCGTATGCCGCGGACGGTGAATCACGTGAAGTATGTTACCGACTTTATCTGTAATGTTCTAAGTTGCGAGGGCACAGTATGGAACTTTCCGCTAGCTTGTTAGACTGTATAAGAGCACAAACGCATGTTTACGTATCTCTCACGCATTTTGATCACATCGGACTCAGCTTCATGTGAGGATCGCTCATCATCCCTGATTCCCAGCCTAGCCCATCACGGCAGCTTGACCACTGTCACCACTGGGTGAATATGTATTATTATCACTGACTTTTGCTATCACCACTGTCATCATATTATGTATTGGATATTGTGAGTGGGTGAGTTGGGTTTAACGCCGCTTTTAACAGTATTCCAGCTTAATGTAGGAGGAAAGCCCGAAGTGATGCAGGTCTCAGACGTTTACCACTTCGATGAAACCCATGAGCACGGGTATAGTTGCTGACAAACCTAGAAACATAATCGGGGCGAACCGTGATTCGAACCCACAACTCTGCACAGTGTATCGCGGTGGACCAACCGTGCCCCCTTACTGAATATTATACTACCATTGTAAGGTGTACTGCTATTGTTATTGTTGTGCAGTAATTTGTGTTGATTTGTAAACCCAGTTAATTTAGTAATATATTTGTTTGATTATATAACATTTATTGGTTGTTTGTTTCACACTAAGTTCCCTTACGTACATATTTCTCGGTTAACATATTGTTTCAATTTCGGACTCAACACGTAATAAAAAAATGATCGGGCAATAAATATTTACTTTTTATGCAAATTGTGTGAATGGCGAGTGCTGGGGGACACGGCTAGCCCAGTCCTCTAAGGCGCCGCGATTCGCTGTGCAGAGTTGCGTCCCTTGGGCCTTTATTACCCTTAATTGAATAAGTACTAGGGAAAACTGAAGTCATATTATTACCCTCAGTTGAATAAGTACTAGGGAATACTGAAGTCATGTTACCCTTAGTTAAATCAGTACTAAGGAATACTGAAGTTATGTTACCCTTAATTGAATCAGTGCTAGGGAATACTGAAGTCATATTACCCTTAGTTGAATCATTGTTAGGGAATACTGAAGTCACATTACCTTAGATTGGATTAGTGCTGGGGAATAGTGAATTCATTATAACCCTTAGTTAAATCAGTACTAGAGAATACTGAAGTCATATTACCCTTAGTTGAATCAGTGTTAGGGATTACTGAAGTCATATAACCCTCGGATGAATCAGTGCTAGGGAATACTGAAGTCATGTTACCCTTAATTGAATCAGTGTTAGGGATTACTGAAGTCATATAACCCTCGGATGAATCAGTGCTAGGGAATACTGAAGTCATATTACCCTTAGTTGAATCATTGTTAGGGATTACTGAAATCACATTACCCTTGATTGGATCATTGCTGGGGAATAGTGAAGTAACTTTACCCTTAGTTGAATAAGTGCTAGGGAATACTGATGGCATATAACGCTCAGTTGAATCAGTGCTAGGGAATACTGATGTCACATTACCCTCGGATAAATCATTGCTAGGGAATACTGTTGTCACATAGCCCTTAGTTGAATCAGTGCCAGGGAATACTGATGTCACATTACCCTCGGATGAATCATTGCTAGGGAATTCTGATGTCATATAACCCTCAATTGAATCAGTGCTAGGAAATAATGATGCCAAATTACCCTCGGATGAATAATTGCTTGGGAATACTGATGTCATATAACCCTTAGTTTAATCAGTGCTAGGGAATACTGATGTCATATAACCCTCAGTTGAATCAGTGCTAGGGGATACTGAAGTCAAACTACCTTCGGATTAATCAATGCATGGGAATACTGACGTCATATTACCCCGGTTGAATCAGTGTAAAGGAATACTGAAGTCTTACCACCCTTAAATGGATCAGTGCAGGGGAATACTGAATTCACATTACACTTAGTTGAATCATTGTTAGGGAATACTGAAGTCATTTTACCCTTAGTTGAATCAGTGCTAGGGAATACTGAAGTCATATTACCCTCGGATGAATCAGTGCTAGGGAATACTGATGTCACATTACCCTCGGATGAATCAGTGCTAGGGAATACTGAAGTCAAATTACCTTCTGATTAATCAATGCATGGGAATACTGACGTCACATTACCCCGGTTGAATCAGTGTAAAGGAATACTGAAGTCATATTACCCTCGGATGAATCAGTGCTAGGGAATACTGATGTCACATTACCCTCGGATGAATCATTGCTAGGAAATACGAAAGTCATATTACCCTTAGTTGAATCAGTGTTGATGTCACAATACCCTCGGATGAATTATTGCTAGGGAATACTGAAGTCAAATTACCCTCAGATACATCAGGCTAGGGAATTCTGACGTCATATTACCCTCGATTGATCAGCGTACGGGGATAGCTGAAGTCATATCACCCGTAGTTAGATCAGTGATAGGGAATACTGAAGTCATTTATCTTCGGTTAAATCAGTGCTGGGGAATACTGAAGTCATATTACCCCCGGTGTGATCATTGCTAGGGAATACTGACGTCATATTACCCTAAGTTGAATCAGTGCAAGTGAATATTGAAGTCATATTGCCCTTGTTCCGATCAGTGCTAGGGAATACTGAAGTCATATTACCCTAAGTTGAATCAGTGCTGGGGAATGCTGAAGTCATATTACCCTCGGATGAATCATGCGCTTGAGAATATTGATGTCATATTATCCTCGGTTGAATCAGTGCTAGGGAAGACTGAAGTCATATTATCCTCGGTTGAATCAGTGCTGGGGAATACCGAAGTCATATTACCCTCGGTTGGATCAGTGCTAGGGAATACTGAAGTCATATCACCCTCGGATGAATCAGTGCTAGGGAATACTGAAGTCATATCACCCTCGGATGAATCAGTGGTAGAGAATACTGACGTCATATTACCCTCGGTTGGATCGGTGTTCGGCAATACTGAAGTCATCGTACCCTTAGTTGAATCAGTGCTAGGGAACACTGAATTCACATTACCCTTATCGAATCAGTGCTAAGTCATATTACCCTCGGTTGGATCAGAG